ATTAAATTGACTTTTTTATCTGCTGTAAACTCTAGTGACCTAGACAGCATCATAATTCAATTTAAATAAAACTAAAATGATAAAATAATATAAATAAAAATGATAAAAATGACATTAATTATATCAATATATTTATACAATATATATAACATTTAAAAAGTAAATTGAATTTTTTTATCTGTTGTAAACTAGTGATTTAGACGGCATCATAGTTCAATTAAAATTACTTTTTTATCTGTTGTAAACTCTAGTGATCTAGACAGCATCATAATTCAATTTAAATAAAACTAAAATGATAAAATAATATAAATAAAAATGATAAAAATGACATTAATTATATCAATATATTTATACAATATATATAACATTTAAAAAGTAAATTGAATTTTTTTATCTGTTGTAAACTAGTGATTTAGACGGCATCATAGTTCAATTAAAATAAAACTAAAATTATAAAATAATATAAATTAAAATTAAAATAAAATTAGATAAATATATTTATATAATATATATAACATTTAATAATTAAATTTACTTTTTTATCTGTTGTAAACTCTAGTGATCTAGACAGCATCATAATTCAATTTAAATAAAACTAAAATGATAAAATAATATAAATAAAAATGATAAAAATGACATTAATTATATCAATATATTTATACAATATATATAACATTTAAAAAGTAAATTGAATTTTTTTATCTGTTGTAAACTAGTGATTTAGACGGCATCATAGTTCAATTAAAATAAAACTAAAATTATAAATAAAATTATATTAATTATATAAATATATTTATATAATATATATAACATTTAATAATTAAATTGAATTTTTTATCTGTTGTAAACTAGTGATTTAGACGGCATCATAGTTCAATTAAAATAAAACTAAAATTATAAATAAAATTATATTAATTATATAAATATATTTATATAATATATATAACATTTAATAATTAAATTGAATTTTTTATCTGTTGTAAACTAGTGATTTAGACGGCATCATAGTTCAATTAAAATAAAACTAAAATTATAAAATTAGATCAATAAAAATTCAAATAAAAATAGATAAATAAATATATTTATATGATATATATATAACATTTAATAATTAAATTGACTTTTTTATCTGTTGTAAACTAGTGATCTAGACAGCATCATAATCCAACTAAAATAATATAAATTAAAAGAATTATATTAATTATATAAATATATTTATAAAATTGTTATGACTTTAAATGCATTTTATTATTTATTTTAAATATGAAATCTAAGCACACTAAACTGAAATGAGCGGCAGATGAATGAAGATTTGTCGTGGTGTGTCCTGAGTGATTGAGTGGTTGTTGATGGCCTCTCTGTCTCTCTCTGTCCAGCGCTGATAGCCATCGGTCAGTACAGCAGCAGCATTGAGACGGTGGACGCCGGCTGGTGTAAGGAGATCACGGATCAGGGAGCCACTCAGATCGCCAGGAGCAGCAAGTCTCTGCGGTACCTGGGCCTGATGCGCTGTGACAAGGTGAGTGTATTCACAGTAGAGGTTGCCCCGACTAATCAACTAGTCGAAATACATGATATCCAATCAGCTTACCTCATCTTTTGCGGTCAAAACTGACTGCATCCACACAAGCAGCGTGCATGCGATAGGATGCCCGCTGAATGTGCTGCTTTAGCAAATCGCGCTGCTGTTCAATGCATCTTTAAAGTAGATCTTCACTTAACAGCATGAAGAGCAAATATTGACACGGACTGAGATCGATTTAAACTCTCTTCGATACAGACGCACTCTGTGCGTGCTATTGTTTTCATGTTTAAGATGCGTTTCAAATTTCCCTGAATATCCAAACGATGGCAAATGTGCCATTCATTTTTACAACATTGAGTGAACATTTTACATTTTAAATGTAGCCTATATTTTAAACATAATATTGTCATGTTTGTTCTATTTTGCAACGAAATAATAGTTCCAACGAAATCCGTCTCATCTGGTGTGCGTCTCCAAGCAACATACAGCGGTGTTTCGTTAGTGAACGAATCTGCGGCTTTGAACGATTTGGAGAGTCAGTGATTAATAACCTATTCATAACTACAGCATTTTGCTTCTTTACTAAATGAATGAATGACATGACGCCTGGCTCATTAAGACAGCGACTTGTCGCCACCTACTGGCGGTTTTATTTTTAAATCTACAGGTATCACTTCGATTTGCCATCATTTATTGCTTTATTTATTACATCACGCCCCGCGTCTAGGGAATGAAAGGGGCATAATGATGATAGTGTTGGTGCTGGATTCCCAACAAGTTGGTCGGGGACCAAACAATCACACCATTCACAGGAACCAGAAACGATTAGATTTATTAAAGTTATAAGTGAAACGTGAAGAGCATCTCTTCGGGGTGGCCACAGGCCAACATAACAAACAAAAAGGAGACTAGAACAAAAAAAAAGAGAAATTAAATAACCTAGACAATTTATAAAACAAGAATACAGCCAGCTTACCTAACTTCCTAACCAAAAATAGAACGACCAATTATGCGTCGACACCACAGCATCATGCAACCTATGAGAGAGCAGACCAAAGAGGAGAGCGAGAGAGAAAGAGAGAAACCGAGCAATACAATACAACAAAAATAATTATCAAAGAAACAGTCGTAACAATTATATTAATAATACACTTAAGGGAATGTTAAGAATATGACATAAAACATGACATACAGTTAATAAGGATAGAGAATCTTTGCCTCTATAAAGGTAAAAAAATGCACCTGTAAATCAATTTAAGAGGGCAAATTGTCCTTTAATAGAAAAGGTGTGACTGCGGTCTAAGTGGAAGAGCGGGGGTACGCAGAAGAATGTTAAATGCCCAGGGGGTATTTAACAGGGGGTAAAAAGTTTGAGAACCACTGCTATAGAGGGCGCAACAGGATAAGAAATCTTTGAAGGACTTGCATATTTACGCTCTGTTTCCAAACAGTTAAAATGACAAATAAATGCATACTCTGAAAGCGCTCCACAAGACATGTGAGGTTATATTACTGGATGCTCGAAATTGAACGGGAGAATGCACGTTTTAAACAGCTTATTGTACAGGTAGGTAAGTTAATAGCCGTTCTGATTTAATAATGTGCTGCTGCACTGTAACGCACACACATTACAGACTGTAGCGCGTACATCACACACACAGAGTCATTCAGCGCAGAAATGTATTGTCAACACTGTTCCATGATTTCTCAATCAAATAGCTTTGAAACTGAAAAGTTCAAGCATATATTTCTTAATAACT